CATTTTGCAAATGAACGATTTATGATATGGTTTTCCTATTTTACTGAGTAACGCTGTAATTTCCGTTAAATACAAATCGGTTGCCCCACCTGTGTTCTCCTTCACTACACTCCTAGGATATTGGATGAATATTCTAGCAACATCGAAAGATAGTCTGCTTTTACAAGTAGTATATGTCTGTAATATACTGGGGTTAGATTATAAACTGGAGTGTGCACTGTGTATGAAATTCCAAAGTGTATCATTTAATCATTTCTCAATTGTTTCAAACTTATCTAGTTTCGGAAGAAACAGTAAATTTATTACATCTAAAAAGTATATAATAATACTGTGTTATATAGCTTTTCGTTTGTTTTTAAAACACAAAAAATATCAACTGTATGAAAGCAGTTTTGAATGTAACTCTGGTAATCTAATTCAATACTATGATTCAAACAAAGCTGGGATGTCAAATGATCAATTTTCAACATTTCTCCAATCGATACCTTTACGTATTGAATAACTGAAAGCATTTGTTTCTTTATCATGATGAAATTGTGGTGGAAGTTGTATTTCAGTTGATGGCAGCTGCCAATCTTGATGTGCTTTCAAACGATTTTCCAACACCTGATGATATTTGTAAGCTGGAAAAAAACGATGTATGGTTTGAAAGGAAAAAAATATGAGGCAAAATAAAATTTCATTGAAATCATAAATTGATCACATTGGTTGGAGTGTGGTGCGCGCTACTTATCAGTAGTATATGACGCGAGTGAAAACGTAATGTCTGGCAGCAGAAGATGAGGGGAAGATCAAGAAAGGAAGAGTGGGAAAACAATGGAATTTGTATAAAACGCATGAATATTGAAATGTCAGACAATGGATTGATGATTGTTGATTGTTGATTTGCAAATGAACCGTTTACGATATGGTTTTGCTATTTTACTGAGTAACTCTGTAATTTTCGTTAAATAAAATTCTCCTTCACTAGAAGAGCACCGTTAGACACATGGCCATTTCGTCCTACTTTAGAACTTTGCCTTGACAGTCTACATTCGTGACTCCCGCTTGAAGGAGTCGAATCTACGACCTTTGGTTATGCACAGGTTGTTTACAAGGAACTTACAAAATCTTGCTAAACATGGGTAAACCATACACGGCATAAAGTGTTATTGTGATTAAGGGCATTAATAATAAAAGTTTTATGAACATAGGTCATTCTATTAAGAAAACGGAATCTGTGCTAAAAGTCATTTATAAGAAAATTAGTAAGCTGTTAAAAACAATTAACTCCCATCTTCTTACTTACGTCAGTTACCCTCAATAGAGCTTAGGTTGCCAACCGGTATTCTCTAACCTTCTCTGTCCTGGCTTTTCCTATCTAGTTCTGTGCAATTTTTGTTCTTTCTTCTCATATCTGTCTCGATTTCTCAATGCAATGTGTTTTTTGGCCTTCCTCTTTTCTTTTAAACTTGAGGGTTCCAAGTGAGGGATTGTATTGTGACGTACTTGGGTGCTTTACGCAATGTGTGTCCTGTCGACTTCCAGAGCTTTATGATTTCCTCCTCCGTTGAAAACTGGTTTGTTCTCCACGGCAGTAGGTTGTTGTTGATAGTGTCTGACCAAAGGATCAGAAGTGTTTTGCATAGGCCACTGTTAATAAACACTTGTATCTTCTGTATGACAGCTTTGGTAGTTTTCCAAGTTTCCGCCTCATACAGTAGAACTGTCTTGACATTTGTATTGAAAACTCTGACTTTGATGTTGGTTGATAGTTGTTTTGAGTTGCAGATATTCTTCAATTGTAGAAATACTAACCTAGTTTTGTCAATCCACACCCTTACATCTACACCAAATCCACCGTGCTCAGTTTACACATATTCCCATGCTTCTCCATCAAGTGTAATTTGGTTTGTGCATATTGTATTATATAGTAGGATTTTGCTTTTCCCTTTGTGTATGTTGAGACCTACTACAGCAGCGTCTGCCGCTACATTAACAAACAACGACAGGTCAAAAGTCAATAGCAACCAATCAGGATCGATGTTAGCAGAACAAGCTACAGGTCAGACGTGGAGAAATTCGAATGCTTCACTTCTATCTGAAGTTTGTGCTGTTGATGATGTTGTTCAGAAGAACAGTGAAAGCTCCACAACCAAAACAACCAGCTTAGAGAACGAAACACCACCACTATCTGCATGTGTGTTTGTTGTTGTTTGTCGTACACAACAAGAGCTAGATCATCTGTAATGTCTAGGTCATCCAGCTGCATCGTAGTTATCCACTACATCCTATACTTCCCCCTTCAGACGTTGACATAATAGTAAATGAATTTATCCTTACGATGATTGTCATTCATTCATAGACAATAGCCCCTGAACTTTTGTCATCAAGAATTTCCAAAGATTTAGTACTCTAGTCACGTGTTCAATGGTCATTTTTAAAGGATTCCTTAAGGCAACCGAGACAAACTTGTTTATTAATTAAATGACTACGTTTTTTACTTTTTAAACATAAATCATTTCAAAATACTGGTGGGGAGTTGTATTAAGACCTCATGTTGTATTTTGTTGACTATTCTAGCATCTAAATCATTTATCACAGGTAGAGAACAGTTTAACTCCGCCAGTAGAACCTTCGGGGCTACTGCCGGTCCCAAGCCCGGATAAAGGAGGAGGGTTGGACATGGGGTCGCCAACCCCATGTCCTCAAAAACTAACTTGCCAAAAAAGCGCTAACCAGAAAAAACTAATTCAAACCATTTTAACTCTGCCCTGGGAGTTGGAAGAAGAATTATGACATTGCGTGATGAAAGCCATGTTCCCTCGGAAGTCAGGGGGCCGATGCCGCTTCTGACAACCAGAGCAAGCATTTTTTTAGGTACGCCGAGAAATAGAGCAAGATTTGTGAGGAATGAACAAACACTGGAACGAATTGGAGAGGGAAGCCCAGGACAGAGTTGGTTGGAGAAAACTGGTGGGCGGCCTATGCTCCATTGGGGGTAACAGGCGTAAGTACGTAAGTAAGTAAGAGAACAGTTTAGAAAATCAAAGAAGATGAGGATAGTTCTCGACGCCACCTACAATGGTCAATTAAGTTTATCCTAACAAGTCTCTCCAAACTACTGTATGCATATAGTTAAAAGAAATCCACCACACTTACTCAATGGACTAGATAACCAAGGAGCTTCATGTTGTTGTGTTTGTTGATGATAATCTGATTTTATGGTTGACTGTATTTGGGATTGTTTACTACTGGATTTGTGTAAAATATTCTTTTTAAATCCAGCCCAAAATGGTAAAATTTCATTAAAAGTCAGTCTAATTGCTTCATCAAATAAATTTAAACTTATTGGTCCTTTATAATCGGTTTGACGATGAATGCGTCCAACTAAGCGATGAATCACTTCATTTGATAAACTAATCTGACAAAAAAATGGAGAATATAGATAGGTAAGTAGTGTAAGTCAAGATACTTGTATTTCGCCACCTTCATAGCCATCATGATTATGATTATGATCATTACTGGTATTGATTCATAAAAGAAATGCTTTCATATAGATTCTAATTACATTTTTTACACTCTACTTGCTTGGTGCATACTACTCACAACATTGCTCATAAGTAGTATGCAGTGGAATGATATTGTTGAAGAGAAGAATGGTATAATATCTGCATGTATAGTGTGATTAAAGTGTTTAACAAGACTAGAAGACGTTTGTTTTACAAATAGTAGGTTAAAGTTAAGGTGTACATACCTTTGCTATAGTAAATTGTGCCTTCTGGTCTTAGCGTTCTCGTTCATTACGCATGTGTATCTAACTACATTATCATAAACTTTGATAGAACAGATAAAGGACATATTTTATGAGGATATTTTAGCAAATATGCCAAAGAGTTGGATGGTTTGTTATCTTAAACTTTTTAATCTGTTCAAAGACAGATACAGGATTGTTTATAATGAATAAGTTTGCCTTTTGACACTATTCAACAGTATCTTACAGGAGAGTTTGCCAAAGAAAGACACAAATCAACTACATTCATTGTTCTAGTCAAAGGAAAAAAGGAAGGCCAAAGACAAACATGAGATGAATGAGAAAAAATTGGACAGAACTGAAAAAAGGAGGCACAGGACAGAGAAGGTTGAAGAATACTAGTTGGCAGTCTATACTCCATTGGTGGTAACAAGCGTCAGCAACAAAGTAAGTAAGTAAGTAAGTAAGTAAGTAAGTAAGTAGGTAAGTAAGTAAGTAAGTAAGTAAGTAAGTAAGTAAGTAAGTAAGTAAGTAAGTGCATAAGTAAGTAAATAAGTAAGTAAGTAAGTAAGTAAGTAAGTAAGTAAGTAAGTAAGTAAATAAGTAAGTAAGTAAGTAAGTAAGTAAGTAAGTGCATAAGTAAGTAAGTAAGTAAGTGCAAAGTAAGTAAATAAGTAAGTAAGTAAGTAAGTAAGTAAGTAAGTAAGTAAGTGCATAATTAAGTAAGTAAGTAAGTAAGTAAGTGCATAAGTAAGTAAGTAAGTAAGTAAGTAAGTAAGTAAGTAAGTAAGTAAGTAAGTAAGTAAGTAAGTAAGTAAGTAAGTAAGTAGGTAAGTAAGTAGGTAAGTAAGTAGGTAAGTAAGTAGGTAAGTAAGTAAGTAAGTAAGTAAGTAAGTAAGTAAGTAAGTAAGTAAGTACTCTGTTCTACAAATGTGGTATTAGCCCCACGCCATACAGTCATACAATATACAAAAATTATTTAATTATTCTGAGTGATTTATATCCATAAACCACTAACTTGTATCATTAAAGCCTTAACTACGTATATGAAATTATAAATTGCTAATTGTTAGATCATAATTAGAAACCTGAAAGCAATGTATGGTCGTTTCGTCCTAGTATGGGACTCATCAATGGCGCAGTGAGCATCGACTACCAATAATCTATTCATGATTTTAAATAACTGACGAAAATCTTCATATCTTTATGATGAATAACTATTGATTACTTTGAACTCAAGTTACTCATTGAATGACTGATATTTATATCAAGGCAGGTAGAGATTACTTTCAGGTTTTTAGTTGTATTCAAAGTTAAATCAGTTAGTGACAAATATTATTTACAAATCTAATTCATCTCAACAAAACCTTTTCATTCAAGTATACGCTTTATCTGGAAGAATTACAACTCAATAGAAATATATAAAATTGTTTGGCATTGAAATTAAACTGCTGGAAAGAATTTTCTGACTGGACTGCACCTCGACTCATGTTATTCAATCTCGTTACGTCATGATGAATATGACATTATCCTGGAACCACCGAGTAAGAAATGCTAGTCTTAGGAAAAGGGTGTCGAGAAAGGATGGTAAATCAATTGGTGAAGTAGTGAAGTGGTGGTTGCGACACATGTTACGTATGCCTGACCACTGACTGCCCCGATAAGCGATGTTTTCTGATGTAGGGGTAGACTAGAAGAATGCTGGGGGTGAAGAAACCAAAATACAGCACAAATCCATGAAGTTACTGATAACTGGACAGAGTCATGTTGGTAGGTGTTGACTACCTACCTGGTTGGGGTCCGCTAGACGTTAGTAACCGATGTTTAGAAACTTTTAATGACATCGCTCAAAATCAAAGTTCTACATTGTAGCTGATTGACTGATTAATAAATAAAACTTATAGAAAAATAATAATAATTTGACTTTACTTGAATTTGTGGTGGAAATACAGATTCTAAAAATGTTTGTAAAATACATTGAACTTTTTTTCTGATTAAACTATGTTCAACATGACCACGATGAAGTTCCTGTAAATGAGAATTAAATTTAAGCAACAAAGTTATCATTATGCAATGACTTAAAGAGTTCTCAATAGAAATGTACTGAAGGAGAACACAGGTGAGGGCAATCGAATTGTATTTATCGCAAATTACAGAGTCGCTCAATAAAATAGGAAAACCATATCGTAAACAGTTAATTTGCAAATCTTCAATCCATCATCAATCCATTGTCTGAAATTTCACTATTCATACCTTTCATACAAATTCCATTGTGTTCCCACTCTTCCTTTCTTGATCTTCCCCCATCTTCTGCTGCTGCCAGACATTTTGTTTTCACTCACGTCATATACTAATTATAAGTAGCGCGCACCGCAGTATTAGCCTCTATCTCTTTACAATTTCAGCAAATTTCATATATAAATTTATCACTGAATTTTACACAGTTAAATGAAATCTACATGAATCTTCGTTGCTTTATTCCTTGTCGGTTAGAGCTGTTTCATATTGTGTATATTTCACAACCTTCAGGAAATTGAAGATCGAGAATGGTTTATGTCTGATTCAACTACAGAAATCCCTCCTAAAATGTTCAAACCACGAATAATCGGAAGGATGGTTGAGATTAGTGAGTAGTAATCCTTAGATTGTTTGACCATTTGTGAAAACATCACCTCAGTATTTTGTAAACTAAAATTGAATCTTTTACTATCAACTTACTGTTACGCCTGCACGTCAACATGTCAATTTGATATGCTGGAATTATTACGAGTTTACCTTAGTCGGAAAACGAAAGCGAGGATCAAGGATCCGACGACACAACAGGCTAATTTAATCCGATTATCCCAACCCCATATGGAGTAAAAAATAAGAAGACTTGATATGAAGTAGGACATGTATTATACAAGCATCCAGAAAGTACGAGGTCCCAGTCCAGAAGACAATCAGGATCCCGGACTAGGGATACGGGACAGAGTCCTAGTCCTGGTCATAAAACGTTACAGATAATGCGTATTTATACATTAATGTTGAATAGGAAACAGCATCGAAGTCTGTAACATTGACAGTTAAGACGACCAATAGGAAACAACATTGGAGCACGTGACATTGATATCTACTACGACGACCATAAAATTGACCAGTAGAAATTGACCAATAGGAATTGACCAATAATTGTCTTAGGATATTGGATGAATATCCTAATACTCACTACAAACCATCATCATGATAATCTGTAAGCTAGGGTCATGAAAAACAGACCACCCTAACAGAAATGTCTAATGATTGCTTATATACAATCCGAACCTACGGAGAGTTTATTTTGTGGTTGAAAAATCTATGCGAAATTAAATAATTTCACTCAGTTATCATTATAAGGTTGTGGAGATTGTTTGAGTTTCGCATTGAAATCATAAATGCATCAGTATTAGTTTTGGGGACGTTAGATCCCTTGTTGGGGATTTAGATACCCAAAACTCTCTTGATAATGCCTTACTTTGGTTTTCACGTTTACGAGCATGGGCTGATCATTTGACCTTGAGATCACATTTCCCACCAGGAAAATCCATGGCTGTGATTGGCTGCTGTGTATTTTAGTGTGCTATTTTCTTAATTGTCCCAAGGACGTTTCTATGATGTATAAATAAACGAGAGTTGTATGCTTGATTGTACTGTGATTGCTGGGTGTTTGTAGAATTTACTTTCTACGCTTACAAAGCCTTTTATCTTCAGCTTGGGATTCAAGGTAGCCTACCTGGACGCTGGTAATTGTCTCGTTCGCGTTTATCGACTAAGGTGAACTCGTAATAGCCTCAAGCATACTTAGTGACGAACATAACACCCTAGAACTCACTTAGAAAAGGTCCTAATTTTGTGATTTACTTCTGAAATTTTCAAGTTCCATTTTTCGCGCCAAGAGAAGCATAGTTGACCTACACAGCTTGCATTTCCCACTCGCGAAATCTTTGACTGTCATTGATTGATTGATGGATTATTTCTAGTACGCTATTTTGTGGCTCTCACCAAGGACATTTCTATCATTGTATAAATAAGCTTGATTTGTATACTTCGTCACCTCAATCTTTCTGGGTGTCTGTAGAACACATTCGCTACGCCTTATTAAAACTTCTTGCTGTGGTGAACGAGCCGGGGACAATCGGATCTGAATTCCGTTTATTAAGTAAGGTGAACTTGTCATAGCATTCAAGCATATCACTTAGACTATCATTTGATACCTTTTAAGCAGTAGATGGCCGTTTCGTTCTAGTATGGGATATATCATCAGTAATGAGCATCCATGATCTGGTGATCAAGAATCGAGCCAAGAACTTTGAGCCTCTTACGGGCGAACGTTTAAACAATAGACTACTGAGTCGGCATCACAACAGTGCTCACGTTCGATTTCGATCAAATCTAATTTGTTGAGCAACTTCATTCATTGTTTTCAGCGGGTAAGCGCCTCATACTCAACACAGTTGCACTTCAGGTTTCTATTGATGGTCTAATATTGATGGATTCTTGATTTTTGTTAGAACCAATGACAATTATGGACATAGATTCGATTGGAACAATGTAAAAATAATGGATAGGGAGAGCAAAAAGAACACTAGAGAATTTTTAGAAGCTTGTCATTCAGGTCAACCAGTAATCAACAAACACATTAACATTGACCCAATTTATCAACCAATCAGAAAAATCATAGGTGACATAGCATCAAGAAACAGATCAAAAGTGGGATATAATCAAAACAAAGGTGCAAACAACGACACGTTTACGGTCAACAGCAACCAATCAAGATCGAGGTGAAGCTTGTGCTAACGATGATGTTGTTCAGTAAGAGAACAATGAAATCTCCGCAACCAAACAACATCCTCAACTCAGAGAACAAAACACCACCAAACACAAAGTCAAAGATAATAATTTATTCACAATGAACTTACTTCAAAACGTAAAACTTCAATGTGAAATATTAAATCTTGATCAATCATTGGACAATTTTCATTTGAACCATAATCTACTAAATATTGATAGAAAAGTATCAATTTAAAATCAAGCGGTGGTTGAAATGCTGCACGTTTCAACAGCTTCATCAATTCCTCTTTATCTTCTAAGGTTGGTTTCATTCTAATGAAAAATTTCTAAATTGAATCAATAAATATGTGAAAAAAAAACAGTTAGTCAGAATGTTAACCAGAAGTCTAGATTAGTTTGATAATTTGTTAGGATATTCATCGAATATCCTAAGATAATTGTTTGTAAGTCTGATTCTATTGGTCAATATTTAAGGTCGTCCTAAACTATCAAGTTCACATACTTTTAAATGTTGTTTCTTATTCGGCGTCCTGATTATCAGTGTCACTTCAAATGTTGTTTCCTATTGGTCGTTCCAACTGTCAATGTCACAAACTTCAATGTTGTTTCCGATTCTACCAAACTGTATAAATACGCATTATTTGTACCGTTTTATGACCCGGATCCTTAGTCCGGGACCCTGATTCTCTTTTGGACTCGGATCGAGTACTTTTTGCATGTTTTTAGAATACATGTCCTACTTCATATCAAGTCTTCTTCTTTTACTCAATGGGGGGTTTGGGACACTCGGATTAGAGTAGCCTGTCATGTCGCCGGAACATCGATCTTCAATCTCATTTTCCGACTAAGGTAAAGTCGTAACAATTAAAGCATATCAAATGACATGTTCACGTGCATGTGTGACATAAATGTAGAAATTTTTTCTAAATAATACGTTACGCTGTTTAATGTCCGATTACTGTGGGAGAGAACAAACCAGATTCCAGCTGAAGAAGAAGTCGGGAAGAAGCGCTGGATGTGGAAAGGATGCACATTGTGGAAATCAACCAACTTCATTACAATACAATCCCGCGCCAAGAGTTTTCAAGGCCGAAGGAGAAGAGGAAGACCAAGGAACACATTAAGAGGAGAATCGGAGACAGACATGAAAAGAATGACTGGCAGTTGACTAGAATCGGAAAGGATGGCGCAGGACAGAGTAGGTTGAAGAATGCTGATAGACGGCAGCCTATGCTCCATTAGGAGTAACATGCGTAAGTAAGTAAGTAAGTAGGAATGATAGAACAGTTCTTCTATGCTTGACGGTTTGGTTCAATACAAATGTTACCGTAATCAAAGAGATCGAACGTAAGTAAGGCCAATGACCATTAGTCCACGATTCCTTACTATAATTCAGAATTTCTTTTATATACATACAAATCTGAGTGTAACTTCGTTTGAAATATGAATGTGACCTGACGAAAATGTTTCTAGAATCAAGTAATTAGTTAGGTAGTCAGACATAGAGACATTTTATCTGAAAAGATTCTCACTGAATTGTAGTGGACTGAAGGGAAACGAAAAAAACAAACAAAATAACTCGAGATTCATTAAATAAAAAACTTCCAACATTCCATAAAACTACAAACAATCAAAAGCGAAATTCAACAAAACCAGAAATAATTATTACCTGTTTTCTTTGTGCAATCTGATTTAGTGTTTTTGGAGTTTCAACTAATGGAGCTAAGTCGATTTCAGGCATTTGACAAAGTTCGATCACTGATAAACCAAGCTTTTTAGCTGTTGCCTAAAGAAGAAAAGTGTTTTAAAATTAATTCACAAGGACATGCAAATCTGAAGTGAATTCAGTATGACCGGATTGTTAATTACAGGTCTGGCTCACCAGTACATGAGGTGGTGCTTGTTGACTGACCCAGAATCTAGTTATTGTATTCAAGCTATAAATTACGTCATTGAGCGATTCGGTCTATCAGTAGTTTCCGCTTAGACAAAGAGATTTATATTCATCAAGCGGTAATTATTATCACATCATTTCAACAATTCAACAGAACATTTCTGAACAGAGATCAGGTTGGTTAAGTTTTAGCTAATAGTTTGTTTACTACTTAATACTTTGTAAAAGTATTAAGTAGTAAACAAACTATTAGCTAAAACTTAACCAACCTGATCTCTGTTCAGAAATGTTCTGTTGAATTGTTGAAATGATGTGATAATAATTACCGCTTGATGAATATAAATCTCTTTGTCTAAGCGGAAACTACTGATAGACCGAATCGCTCAATGACGTAATTTATAGCTTGAATACAATAACTAGATTCTGGGTCAGTCAACAAGCACCACCTCATGTACTGGTGAGCCAGACCTGTAATTAACAATCCGGTCATACTGAATTCACTTTCAGATTTGCATGTCCTTGTGAATTAATTTTAAAACACTTTTCTTCTTTAGGCAACAGCTAAAAAGCTTGGTTTATCAGTGATCGAACTTTGTCAAATGCCTGAAATCGACTTAGCTCCATTAGTTGAAACTCCAAAAACACTAAATCAGATTGCACAAAGAAAACAGGTAATAATTATTCTGGTTTTGTTGAATTTCGCTTTTGATTGTTTGTAGTTTTATGGAATGTTGGAAGTTTTTTATTTAATGAATCTCGAGTTATTTTGTTTGTTTTTTTCGTTTCCCTTCAGTCCACTACAATTCAGTGAGAATCTTTTCAGATAAAATGTCTCTATGTCTGACTACCTAACTAATTACTTGATTCTAGAAACATTTTTCGTCAGGTCACATTCATATTTCAAACGAAGTTACACTCAGATTTGTATGTATATAAAAGAAATTCTGAATTATAGTAAGGAATCGTGGACTAATGGTCATTGGCCTTACTTACGTTCGATCTCTTTGATTACGGTAACATTTGTATTGAACCAAACCGTCAAGCATAGAAGAACTGTTCTATCATTCCTACTTACTTACTTACTTACGCATGTTACTCCTAATGGAGCATAGGCTGCCGTCTATCAGCATTCTTCAACCTACTCTGTCCTGCGCCATCCTTTCCGATTCTAGTCAACTGCCAGCATTCTTTTCATGTCTGTCTCCGATTCTCCTCTTAATGTGTTCCTTGGTCTTCCTCTTCTCCTTCGGCCTTGAAAACTCTTGGCGCGGGCTTGTATTGTAATGAAGTTGGTTGATTTCCACAATGTGCATCCTTTCCACCTCCAGCGCTTCTTCCCGACTTCTTCTTCAGCTGGAATCTGGTTTGTTCTCTCCCACAGTAATCGGACATTAAACAGCGTAACGTATTATTTAGAAAAAATTTCTACATTTATGTCACACATGCACGTGAACATGTCATTTGATATGCTTTAATTGTTACGACTTTACCTTAGTCGGAAAATGAGATTGAAGATTGATGATCCGGCAACACGACAGGCTAGTCTAATCCGAGTGTCCCAAACCCCCCATTGAGTAAAAGAAGAAGACTTGATATGAAGTAGAACATGTATTCTACAAACATGCAAAAAGTACTCGATCCGAGTCCAAAAGAGAATCAGGGTCCCGGACTAAGGATCCGGGTCATAAAACGGTACAAATAATGCGTATTTATACAGTTTGGTAGAATCGGAAACAACATTGAAGTTTGTGACATTGACAGTTGGAACGACCAATAGGAAACAACATTTGAAGTGACACTGATAATCAGGACGACGAATAAGAAACAACATTTAAAAATATGTGAACTTGATAGTTTAGGACGACCTTAAATATTGACCAATAGAATCAGACTTACAAACAATTATCTTAGGATATTCGATGAATATCCTAACAAATTATCAAACTAATCTAGACTTCTGGTTAACATTCTGACTAACTGTTTTTTTTTCACATATTTATTGATTCAATTTAGAAATTTTTCATTAGAATGAAACCAACCTTAGAAGATAAAGAGGAATTGATGAAGCTGTTGAAACGTGCAGCATTTCAACCACCGCTTGATTTTAAATTGATACTTTTCTATCAATATTTAGTAGATTATGGTTCAAATGAAAATTGTCCAATGATTGATCAAGATTTAATATTTCACTTTGAAGTTTTACGTTTTGAAGTAAGTTCATTGTGAATAAATTATTATCTTTGACTTTGTGTTTGGTGGTGTTTTGTTCTCTGAGTTTAGAATGTTGTTTGGTGGTTGAGATTTCATTTTTCTCCTAATGAAGAACGTCATCGCTACCACAAGCTTCACCTCGATCCTGATTGGTTGCTGTTGACCGTAAACCTGTCGTTGTTTGCACCTTTGTTTTGATTATATCCACTTTTTTGATCTGTTTCTTGATCCTATGTCAGCTTTGATTTTTCTGATTGGTTGATAAATTGGGTCAATGTTGATGTGTTTGTTGATTGCTGGTTGATCTGAGTGCCAAGCTTCTAAAAATTCTCTACAGTTCTTCTTGCTCCGCCTATCCAGTATTTCCACATTGTTCCAATCGAATGTATGTCCATAATTGTCTTTGGTTCTAACAAAAATCAAGAATCCATCAATATTAGACCATCAATAGAAACCTGAAGTGCAACTGTGTTGAGTATGAGGCGCTTACCCGCTGAAAACAATGAATGAAGTTGCCTCAACAAATTAGATTTGATCGAAATCGAACGTGAGCACTGTTGTGATGCCGACTCAGTAGTCTATTGTTTAAACGTTCGCCCGTAAGAGGCTCAAAGTTCTTGGCTCGATTCTTGATCACCAGATCATGGATGCTCATTACTGATGATATATCCCATACTAGAACGAAACGGCCATCTACTGCTTAAAAGGTATCAAATGATAGTCTAAGTGATATGCTTGAATGCTATGACAAGTTCACCTTACTTAATAAACGGAATTCAGATCCGATTGTCCCCGGCTCGTTCACCACAGCAAGAAGTTTTAATAAGGCGTAGCGAATGTGTTCTACAGACACCCAGAAAGATTGAGGTGACGAAGTATACAAATCAAGCTTATTTATACAATGATAGAAATGTCCTTGGTGAGAGCCACAAAATAGCGTACTAGAAATAATCCATCAATCAATCAATGACATCAAAGATTTCGCGAGTGGGAAATGCAAGCTGTGTAGGTCAACTATGCTTCTCTTGGCGCGAAAAATGGAACTTGAAAATTTCAGAAGTAAATCACAAAATTAGGACCTTTTCTAAGTGAGTTCTAGGGTGTTATGTTCGTCACTAAGTATGCTTGAGGCTATTACGAGTTCACCTTAGTCGATAAACGCGAACAAGACAATTACCAGCGTCCAGATAGGCTACCTTGAATCCCAAGCTGAAGATAAAAGGCTTTGTAAGCGTAGAAAATATATTCTACAAACACCCAGCAATCACAGTACAATCAAGCATACAACTCTCGTTTATTTATACAACATAGAAACGTCCTTGGGGAGCTTAAGAAAATAGCACACTAAAATACACAGCAGCCAATCACAGCCATGGGTTTTCCTGGCGGGAAATGTGTGATCTCAAGGTCAACCGATCAACCCATACTGGCAAACGTGAAAACCGAAATAAGGCAATTATCAAGAGAGTTTTGGGTATCTAAATCCCCAACAAGGGATCTAACGTCCCCAAAACTAATACTGATGCATTTATGATTTCAATGCGAAACTCAAACAATCTCCACAACCTTATAATGATAACTGAGTGAAATTATTTAATTTCGCATAGATTTTTCAACCACAAAATAAACTCTCCGTAGGTTCGGATTGTATATAAGCAATCATTAGACATTTCTGTTAGGGTGGTCTGTTTTTCATGACCCTAGCTTACAGATTATCATGATGATGGTTTGTAGTGAGTATTAGGATATTCATCTAATATCCTAAGAGAATTATTGGTCAATTCCTATTGGTTATATATTACTACTGGTCAATTATATGGTCGTCCTAGATATCAGTGTCACGTGCTCCAATGTTGTTTCCTATTGGTCGTCTTACCTGTTAATGTGACAAACTTTGATGCTGTTTCCTATTCGACCAAAATGTATAGATATGCATTATCTGTAACGTTTTATGACAAGGACCAGGATCAGGGCTCTGTCCCGGATCCCTAGTCTGGGATCCTTATTCTCTTCTGGATTCGGGCCTCGTACTTTCTGGATGCTTGTAGAATACAGGTTCTACTTCATATCAAGTCTTCTTATTTTTTTACTTAATATGGGGTTGGGATAATCGGATTAAATTAGCCTGTTGTGTCGTCGGATCCTTGATCCTCGCTTTCGTTTTCCGACTAAGGTAAACTCGTAATAATTCCAGCATATCAAATTGACATGTTGACGTGCAGGCGTAACAGTAAGTTGATAGTAAAAGATTCAATTTTAGTTTACAAAATACTGAGGTGATGTTTTCACAAATGGTCAAACAATCTAAGGATTACTACTCACTAATCTCAACCATCCTTCCGATTATTCGTGGTTTGAACATTTTAGGAGGGATTTCTGTAGTTGAATCAGACATAAACCATTCTCGATCTTCAATTTCCTGAAGGTTGTGAAATATACACAATATGAAACAGCTCTAACCGACAAGGAATAAAGCAACGAAGATTCATGTAGATTTCATTTAACTGTGTAAAATTCAGTGATAAATTTATATATGAAATTTGCTGAAATTGTAAAGAGATAGAGGCTAATACTGCGGTGCACGCTACTTATAAGTAGTATATGACGCGAGTAAAAACGTATTGTCTGACAGCAGAAGATGGGGATGATCAAGAAAAGAAGAGTGGGAACACAATGGAATTTGTATGAAACGCATGAATAGTGAAATGTCAGACAATGGATTGATGATGGATTGAAGATTTGCAAATTAACTGTTTACGATATGGTTTTCCTATTTTATTGAGCGACTCTGTAATTTGCGATAAATACAATTCGATTGCCCTCACCTGTGTTCTCCTTCCCTACATTTCTATTGAGAACTCTTTAAGTCATTGCATAATGATAACTTTGTTGCTTAAATTTAATTCTCATTTACAGGAACTTCATCGTGGTCATGTTGAACATAGTTTAATCAGAAAAAAAGTTCAATGTATTTTACAAACATTTTTAGAATCTGTATTTCCACCACAAATTCAAGTAAAGTCAAATTATTATTATTTTTCTATAAGTTTTATTTATTAATCAGTCAATCAGCTACAATGTAGAACTTTGATTTTGAGCGATGTCATTAAAAGTTTCTAAACATCGGTTACTAACGTCTAGCGGACCCCAACCAGGTAGGTAGTCAACACCTACCAACATGACTCTGTCCAGTTATCAGTAACTTCATGGATTTGTGCTGTATTTTGGTTTCTTCACCCCCAGCATTCTTCTAGTCTACCCCTACATCAGAAAACATCGCTTATCGGGGCAGTCAGTGGTCAGGCATACGTAACATGTGTCGCAACCACCACTTCACTACTTCACCAATTGATTTACCATCCTTTCTCGACACCCTTTTCCTAAGACTAGCATTTCTTACTCGGTGGTTCCAGGATAATGTCATATTCATCATGACGTAACGAGATTGAATAACATGAGTCGAGGTGCAGTCCAGTCAGAAAATTCTTTCCAGCAGTTTAATTTCAATGCCAAACAATTTTATATATTTCTATTGAGTTGTAATTCTTCCAGATAAAGCGTATACTTGAATGAAAAGGTTTTGTTGAGATGAATTAGATTTGTAAATAATATTTGTCACTAACTGATTTAACTTTGAATACAACTAAAAACCTGAAAGTAATCTCTACCTGCCTTGATATAAATATCAGTCATTCAATGAGTAACTTGAGTTCAAAGTAATCAATAGTTATTCATCATAAAGATATGAAGATTTTCGTCAGTTATTTAAAATCATGAATAGATTATTGGTAGTCGATGCTCACTGCGCCATTGATGAGTCCCATACTAGGACGAAACGACCATACATTGCTTTCAGGTTTCTAATTATGATCTAACAATTAGCAATTTATAATTTCATATACGTAGTTAAGGCTTTAATGATACAAGTTAGTGGTTTATGGATATAAATCACTCAGAATAATTAAATAATTTTTGTATATTGTATGACTGTATGGCGTGGGGCTAATACCACATTTGTAGAACAGAGAACTTACTTACTTACTTACTTACTTACTTACTTACTTACTTACTTACTTACTTACTTACTTACCTACTTACTTACCTACTTACTTACCTACTTACTTACTTACTTACTTACTTACTTACTTACTTACTTACTTACTTACTTACTTACTTACTTACTTACTTACTTACTTATGCACTTACTTACTTACTTACATACTTACTTTGCACTTACTTACTTACTTACTTACTTACTTACTTACTTACTTATTTACTTACTTGTGCACTTACTTACTTACTTACTTATGCACTTACTTACTTACTTACATACTTACTTACTTATTTACTTACTTACTTACTTACTTACTTACTTACTTACTTACTTACTTATTTACTTACTTACTTACTTACTTACTTACTTCCTCACTTACTTGTGCACTTACTTACTTACTTACTTACTTACTTGTTTACTTACTTACTTACTTATTTACTTACTTATGCACTTACTTACTTACTTTGTTGCTTACGCTTGTTACCACCAATGGAGTATAGGCGGCCAACCACTATTCTCCAACCTTCTCTGCCCCTGCGCCTCCTTTTTTCAGTTCTGTCCGATTTTTTCTCATTCATCTCATGTTTGTCGTTGGCCTTCATCTTTTCTTTGACTAGAAAAGTGAACATAGTTTATTTGTGTCTTTCTTTGGCAAACTCTCCTGTAAGATACTGTTGGAATAGTGTCAAAAGGCAAACTTATTGATAATAAACAATCCTGTATCTGTCTTTGAACAGATTAAAAAGTTTAAGATAACAAAATCATCCAACTCTTTGGCATATTTGCTAAAACATTCTCTTAAAAGGTGTTCTTTATCTGTTCTATCAAAGTTTATGATAATGTAGTTAGATACACATGCGTAATGAACGAGAACGCTATGACCAGAAGGCACAATTTACTATAGCAAAGGTATGTACTTTATCTCCAACCTACTATTTGTAAAACAAACGTCTTCTAGTCTTGTTAAACACTTTAATCACACTATACATGCAGATATTATACCATTCTTCTCTTCAACAATATCATTCCACTGCATACTACTTATGAGCAATGTTGTGAGTAGTATGCACCAAGCAAGTAGAGTGTAAAAAATGTAATTAGAATCTATATGAAAGCATTTCTTTTATGAATCAATACCAGTAATGATCATAATCATAATCATGATGGCTATGAAGGTGGCGAAATACAAGTATCTTGACTTACACTACTTACCTATCTTTATTCTCCATTTTTTTGTCAGATTAGTTTATCAAATGAAGTGATTCATCGCTTAGTTGGACGCATTCATCGTCAAACCGATTATAAAGGACCAATAAGTTTAAATTTATTTGATGAAGCAATTAGACTGACTTTTAATGAAATTTTACCATTTTGGGCTGGATTTAAAAAGAATATTTTACACAAATCCAGTAGTAAACAATCCCAAATACAGTCAACCATAAAATCAGATTATCATCAACAAACACAACAACATGAAGCTCCTTGGTTATCTAGTCCATTGAGTAAGTGTGGTGGATTTCTTTTAACTATATGCATACAGTAGTTTGGAGAGACTTGTTAGGATAAACTTAATTGACCATTGTAGGTGGCGTCGAGAACTATCCTCATCTTCTTTGATTTTCTAAACTGTTCTCTTACTTACTTACTTACTTACGCCTGTTACCCCCAATGGAGCATAGGCCGCCCACCAGTTTTCTCCAACCAACTCTGTCCTGGGCTTCCCTCTCCAGTTCTTTCCAGTTTTTGTTCATTCTTCTCACTTCTCTCTCTATTTCTCGGCGTACCTAAAAAAAATGCTTGCTCTGGTTGTCAGAAGAGGCTCGGCCCCGTGACTTCCGAGGGAACTCGGCTTTCATCACGCGACGTCATAATTCTTCTTTCAACTCCCAGGGCAGAGTGAAAATGGTTTGAATTAGTTTTTTCTGGCTAGTGTTTTTTTGGCAAGTTAGTTTTTGAGGGAATGGGGTCGCCGACACCATGTCCAACCCTCCTCCTTTATCCGGGCTTGGGACCGGCAGTAGCTCCTAAGGTTCTACTGGCGGAGTTAAACTGTTCTCTACCTGTGATAAATGATTTAGATGCTAGAATAGTCAAAAAAATACTACATGAGGTCTCAATACAACTCGCCATAAATATTTTCAAATGATTTGTGTTTTTTAAAGTGAAAAACGTAGTCATTTAATTATTAACAAGTTTGTCTCGGTTGCCTTAAGGAATCCTTTAAAAGTGACTTACATTCCACCTTTTGAACACGTGACTAGAGTACTAAATCTTTGGAATTTCTTGATGACAAAAATTCAGGGGCTATTGTCTATGAATGAATGACAATCATCGTAAGGATAAATTCATTTACTATTATGTCAACGTCTGAAGGGGGAAGTATAGGATGTAGTGGATAACTACGATGCAGCTGGATGACCTAGACATTACAGATGATCTAGCTCTTGTTGTGTACGACAAACAACAACAAACACACATGCAGATTGTGGTGGTGTTTCATTCTCTGAGCTGGATGTTTTGGTTGTGAAACTTTCATTGTTCCCCTTCTGAACAACATCATCAACAGCACAAACTTCAGATAGAAGTGAAGCATTCGAATTTCTCCACGTCTGACCTGTAGCTTGTTCTGCTAACATCGATCGTGATTGGTTGCTATTGACTTTTGACCTGTCGTTGTTTGTTAATGTAGCGGCAGACGCTGCTGTAGTAGGTCTCAACATACACAAAGGGAAAAGCAAAATCCTACTATATAATACAATATGCACAAACCAAATTACACTTGATGGAGAAGCATGGGAATATGTGTAAACTGAGCACGGTGGATTTGGTGTAGATGTAAGGGTGTGGATTGACAAAACTAGGTTAGTATTTCTACAACTGAAGAATATCTGTAACTCAAAACAGCTATCAACCAACTATAAAGTCAGAATTTTCAATACAAATGTCAAGACAATTCAACTGTATGTGGCGGAAACTTGGAAAACTAAAAAAGCTGTCATACAGAAGATACTAGTGTTTTATTAACAGTGGCCTATGCAAAACACTTCTGATCCTTTGGTCAGACACTATCAACAACAACCTACTGCCGTGGAGAACAAACCAGTTTTCAACGGAGGAGGAAATCAGAAAGCTCTGGAAGTCGATAGGACACACATTGCGTAAAGCACCCAAGTACGTCACAATACAATCCCTCACTTGGAACCCTCAAGTTTAAAAGAAAAGAGGAAGGCCAAAAAACACATTGCATTGAGAAATCGAGACAGATATGAGAAGAATGAACAAAAATTGCACAGAACTAGATAGGAAAAGCCAGGACAGAGTAGGTTGGAGAATACTGGTTGGCAGCCTATGCTCTATTGAGGGTAACTGACGTAAGTAAGAAGACGGGAGTTATTGCCTTTAATGGCTTACTAATTTTCTTATAAATGACTTTTAGCACAGATTCCGTTTTCTTAATAGAATGACCTATGTTCATAAAACTTTTATTATTAATGCCCTTAATCACAATAACACTTTATGCCGTGTATGGTTTACCCATGTTTAGCAAGATTTTGTAAGTTCCTTGTAAACAACCTGTGCATAACCAAAGGTCGTAGATTCGACTCCTTCAAGCGGGAGTCACGAATGTAGACTGTCAAGGCAAAGTTCTAAAGTAGGACGAAATGGCCATGTGTCTAACGGTGCTCTTCTAGTGAAGGAGAATTTTATTTAACGAAAATTACAGAGTTACTCAGCTAAATAGCAAAACCATATCGTAAACGGTTCATTTGCAAATCAACAATCAACAATCATCAATCCATTGTCTTACATTTCAATATTTATGCGTTTCACACAAATTCCATTGTGTTCCCACTCTTCCTTTCTTGATCTTCCCCCACATCTTCTGCTGCCCAGACATTACGTTTTCACTCACGTCATATACTACTTATAAGTAGCGCGCACCACAACTCCAACCAATGTGATCAATTTATGATTTCAATGAAATTTTATTTTGCCTCATATTTTTTTCCTTTCAAACCATACATCGTTTTTTTCCAGCTTACAAATATCATGAGTTGTTGGAAAATCGTTTGAAAGCACATCAAGATTGGCAGCTGCCATCAACTGAAATACAACTTCCACCACAATTTCATCATGATAAAGAAAACAAATGCTTTCAGTTATTCAATACGTAAAGGTATCGATTGGAGAAATGTTGAAAATTGATCATTTGACATCCCAGCTTTGTTTGAATCATAGTATTGAATTAGATTACCAGAGTTACATTCAAAACTGCTTTCATACAGTTGATATTTTTTGTGTTTTAAAAACAAACGAAAAGCTATATAACACAGTATTATTATATACTTTTTAGATGTAATAAATTTACTGTTTCTTCCGAAACTAGATAAGTTTGAAACAATTGAGAAATGATTAAATGATACACTTTGGAATTTCATACACAGTGCACACTCCAGTTTATAATCTAACCCCAGTATATTACAGACATATACTACTTGTAAAAGCAGACTATCTTTCGATGTTGCTAGAATATTCATCCAATATCCTAGGAGTGTAGTGAAGGAGAACACAGGTGGGGCAACCGATTTGTATTTAATGGAAATTACAGCGTTACTCAGTAAAATAGGAAAACCATATCATAAATCGTTCATTTGCAAAA